AGAATATTTAAGCCTCATAAGATAGTGGTCATTTTGCTTCTCCAGTGTACCCAGCGATAGGAATCCAGTTTTTCCTAGGCACCTCTCCTGAATGGCAGATGGTGACCCTGTAGATTGCTGCTCACAAGCGCATCTCCAGATATGAGCCTGCACCCTCATTCAGTCCTTGTTCTACCTCCACGATCCAGTGGTGCCATTCAAGTTACTGCTTTGTTTCAGAGTGTGGGGGTAGCTTTTTAATTTAATTTTTGCTTTCTATCACCTTCTACCCCACCCATCAGTTGGATCTCATTATATCCACTTTCTGGAGAAAGGATTTAAGAGACTCAGAGAGATCAAGTAAATCTGGAACCCAAGACTATAAAAGAGGCTGCTCCGAGCTTAAAACCCAAGCCTTCTTCCTAACTAGACAAGTTTAATCTGGCACTCAAAGACTTTTGTGACTTGCTGCTGTGGAGTTCTCTGGCCTTGTCACAATCACCCCATTGCAGGTCTACATCCATTCGAATTGCAGCCAAGCTCTGCCATATCAAATCCAGTCGGGCAGTGAGTTTAAGATGCCCAATTTGCTCCCCTGCCTCTGCGATATTTTAATCCTATGACCTGGTACCAGTCACCTAACCTTGAGCTGAATGGCATTAATCTTAAGGGTAAAGAATTTGCACTGAGAAGTACTTTAGATACCTTTTGGAATTTTGTAGAAAGTGAAGAGGAAGTTAAGAACATTAGATGTAGAGGCAGAAGCAGACTTCTATCTCATTGTGCCCCTTGCTAGCTGCTGGGAATTGGATGGGTTATTTATTCTTTGTGAACTTCCATTGTTCTTTGTTATTCCTCCAAAGTTATAATGTGATGTTTATAGGACACTTGATATTTATAGATAGGGGGCTCCTGTTTTCACTTTGCTCATTAATTAAGTCCACATATTTGTTCTTATTTTGATCTTATGTGTGTACTACATCCTAAGAACTTTACAAGGTTTGTTTCATTTACAGCACATTGTCAAGTAAGCACATATAAATATGCATGCGTGTTGAAATAAGTTTCTTATGTCACTAATAGTCTTTGTGATGTGAAATGACTCTGGGATATTTAATTTCATTCCATATTATTTTATTTTATTTCATTTTATTTTTAGAGCTAGCCCAAACCTATGAAATGGATTTTACAATCCACTATTGGGTAACAGTTTGGAATTTGAAAAACACTGGGCCTAGAAAGTCTAGGGACTTTCCTTTTTCAGAACCAAACAGCCCCCAAGGCTCCTCCTCCTTTTCTCACTATATATTCTGCTTCCTCTGATGGTGATGCTTTCCTAAGCCAGCTCTATCTCTTGCTCTTGATTGAATTTTTGTACAGGTATCATCTGCATCTGCTCCCATGGCTACAATGATTACTGTTACTATATAGTAGCAATTACTATATAGTAATTACTACTATAGTAAATTACTACATAGTAATTTGTAAATATGTATCCCCAAGTCTGGATGCCCTCCAGAATTCTGTACAAATGCTTTCAATAGTATTCTGAACACTTTCAAATGGATTTCGTGTAGGGGGATTATTGTCTTGGACAACACAACTTTCCTCCTTTGTACATTTCTCATTCTTTTGTTTACTTAGTCTGAATATTTCAAGTCATCGCTGATTTCTTCTTCCCTCCGTAGCTAATCTTTCATCTAATCTTGTTAATTCTTTATTCACAACCTTCTTTTCACTAGTCATCATAGCCTTCCTTCTTTGACATAATATTATCTTGATTAAAACAATAATGATTTCTTATTACCTACAGCCTTGAATTTGAAATCTTTAGAATACTAGACTTTGTCCTCATATCTTACCTCCATCATTGGTCTAGCTGTGTCTTTTGCTACCCTAAACATTGATCATCCAATTATGACCTATAATGAAATATTTTTTTCTTTTGTCTCAGGAGTCAGCTTATATTATGTGACTAATGTAGCACTGAGCATGTCATATAATGCCACTGGATCATATTTATGCTATATTGTAGTATTATTTGGTACTTTATAGAGGTTAAAGATATGGGAGTCACCTTGTGAGTCCCTCTCAACAACTAAAGAGTAACCCAGGCACATTGATGCTATCCTCTAAACCAGAAGATAGTTTTTCTAGGGATGGGAGCCAGGGGGATGGTTTTGGGATGATTCACGCGCATTGCACTTATTGTGCACTTTCTTTCTGTTATCATCATTACATTATGCCCTTTGTTCCTATTATTATTATGTTAGATTCTCATACGGAGCCTCAACCTAGATCCCTCACATGCACAGTTCACAGGAGGGTTTGTCCTCTGAAAATCTAATTCTGCCACTGATCTGAAAGCAGGCAGAGCTCAAGCAGTGATGCCAGGAGGAGGAGCAGCTGTAAATATCGATGAAGCTTCCTTTGCTTGTGTGTGGCTCAATTCTTGCTGAGCAGCTCAGTTCCTAATAGGGCTTGGACCAGCACTGGTCTGTGGCTGGTATTCCCAAACTTTAACATGCATACGAATGATACATTGGAATAAAATTCTCATTCAACATTGTCAGGAGGGCTGCTTAACATGTTGCATTTCTAGTTGGTTCTCAGGGAATGTTAGCCTCCTGGTTAGAGTTCCACACTCCAAGTAGCAAGGCCCTAAGCCTACCTTGAATCCAGCTCTTCTCCCTGCCACTGTCTGGGTGGGAGCTCTCTTAGCTGGTCTGCCTGCTGCCTATGCTTCCCACTGTGTATCTGTCTCTCAGGAGCCTCACATTTATTGTGCTGTTGGCTTGTGAATGAGTACCTCACCTGTCAGCTCCCCATTTGCAGATGAAACCTCCTGCACATTAGGAAAGCCAGCTCATTAACCATTTCAGACCTAGCTAGTGATTCAAAAGCGGGGTGGGTGCCTTGCTTGGAGCATCCTCATTCTTTTCTGTTTTCGTAGTTGTTTTCTTCTCTGTGTACTTCTTGTGGTGAAATTAATTTGGCTGTTCTATTTTCCCCCAAAATGCCGATTTTCTTTTTGTCCCAGCCCCATCCCCACCTAAGTCCTATATACTATGGCACCTGGAGTTTTCAGACTCTGTTGGATTTCCATCAATGTCTGGATTGCATTTCTTCTTAAAGAGAAACAGTTCACTGTTGCCAAATATTGATGGGATTATAAGACTAGGGCTGCAGAAGTTGAAAGTTGCTTAGAGGAAAATAGCTATGAGCAATCAATGAAGTTGTCCCTTAGTTGAAGCTGAGCTGGCCTTCACTATGAATGCCTATGTTGGTTCTCCCTGGACTGGGGTGTTGCCCCAGCTGTGGATCTGCACTGTATTTCTATTTTCTTTTTTAATGTGGCCTTTTTAATAAAATGGAGTACTATTCAGCCATAAAGAATGATAAACTAGAGACCTTTATAGCTAAATGGATGCATATTGAGGCAATACTCTTAAGTGAAATAAATAGGATACATATGTGTAAATACTGAATAGTTTCTCTAGTTTGAGAAACTGAAAGTATAAATAAGGACAAAAAGGTATAACAGATAATCTATTTTCTTTATATTCATTCATTTGTCTTCTTTTTACTGCTGAATCTCTTGTTCAGTATTAGGTAATAGGGCACAAAGAGAACCATCTTTCTCTGCCCAAGCAGAGGCAAGGGTAGTGCCAGTTAGAAGTTCCAAGAATAATAGGTGGGAAGGAAGTAGAGGTTGGCATGAGATTCTTGGTTTTGGGGACGCAGTTCTGCTCACCTGTCTGTGTAACCTCAGAGGGGTAGTCCTGCCTCCTTGACCTATTTCTCTAGTCCTCAGGGCTGGTAGGAATGATCATTGTTAAATACACCTTAAGGAAAAGTTATGAGGGTCATACACAATGTATCTATCTTTTTAAAAAAAAGCGAACAGAATTCTCCTAAAATCACACCCAATTTCTCTCAAAGTTAGTGAAATTTATCTCTTACTTCGATGTAGGTGTCTTAGATCATTTTCTGTTGCTATGGCAAAACACCTGAGAATGAGTTATTTGTAAATAATAGAGGTTTATTTAATTCATGGGACTAGAGGCTGGGAAGTCTAGGAGCATGGCTGTGGCATCTTCCTGGCATTGGATAACAGCTTTGTTCCTGCATCATAAAATGGCAAAAGATGCTGATGGTAGACAGAGCGAGTGTGCTAGCTCCCTCTTCTTTCACAGCCACTAATGCCATCATGGTGCCCCCCACCAGGACCTGATGCAGTCTCAGTTACCTCAGAAAGACCCAACCCTTGCATACAGTTAGCTTCTGAATTTTGGAATTCAGTTTCCAACACACAGTCTTTTGGGAGACACATTGAAATCACAACAGTAAGTCTTTGTGCATCCTTTCCGTGTTTAAGAAATGAATAAAAGGGTCATTTGGAGGTGGGTCAGAAGGCATCTTCATTTTCTCTTGCCTCTTTTTTGCTGTAAATTATGGAGTTCCTTCATGGGAGAGGGCAATGCATTTGGAGGAAAATCTCCTACGTAACCACTGTAAGGAAATTGCCCCTCTCTCCAGTGTTGCATGTTTTCTAGTGTGTCACCAGGGTCATAAATGTTTCAAGAGGCTGCACTGCCCTGCTGCATTTTCTAAGCCCCTAAGTCCTACTGCCTTCGAACCCATCCTCCAGAGTTCCCACCTGTTTCAAGGTGCAAATCAAGAAACTGACAAGAACTCTCTCTGGCTGGTATGAGCAGCAGACTAACAAAGGCTGCTCTGCTGGCAAGTTGGTGAAGGTGGGAGGCAAGGGAGGGAGGAGATTTCCCCAGCAACAGCAGCAGAGTGGACCTCTGAGACTCATTCGTAAGATGGACACTTCACTCTCGGCAGTTCCTGCATATCTGCCTCTTTACTGGCTGGTGACGGGATCAATAGAAGCCTGCTACCTGGTTAATAATGGGCCAGTTAGGTGGCACAGATGAGCACCCTGGCTATGGGATCTATGTGCTGACAAAAAAGACCATTGAACATTGACTTTTCACTTTTCTCTTTTTCCCCAGGGTGGCCACTGAAGTTTTGGCAGTATTGCTGAAATCCAGTAAGCATCTCTTTTGAAGAGTGGTTATTTCTTTCTCCTGTGATTTTAGTGAAAGGTGCTCTTTTGTCTCCATGGCTTGTTTCTGACCTAAAAGGAAGCAAAGCCATGTCCTGGATCTTTGGGATGAGATGGAGAATATTATGGCTATTCCATGTACATAACTGCAAGGAGAGAGTGAGTATCTCTCCATGTGGACATGTCCATGCACAATGCCACCAAGAGAGCTGACTTTAAAGGGAGATTGTTGTCCATTAAGGCCCTGGGGACACCCTGGCTCCTGCTGACTAGGTCAGTAGCCCTTAAGAATTGCTGTAACAGACTCCAGATTCCTGTGGTATTGTCCAGGATAAGAAAAGGTTATGACTGGGTAAGTAGCAGTTTTGCATTTGGTTCCCAACTTAGCTCTTACATTTTTTGGCTAGTAGAGTTCTGGGAATTGCTTGGACAATGTGGATGTCGATAACAAATTTATATTAAAAATTGGCTCTTTCCTCAGTTACTAGAGTGACTGCAAAAAAATTGCTCTGGGGGTCGGAGCAATTGTGAAGTTTTGGCTGTATAGCCCTGGCCTAATTACATTGGGAGTCAATTTCACCTATGAGATACAATAGAAGGCACGATGCACTTGGGAGTGGAGATGTGTTATCTTAATGGTTTTATTTTTCCACTGCCCCCATTTCTTCATCTGTTTTAATTTGGCACCTTGGAAAAGAGCTGCTTCAACTGTGATATTTATTTCTCTATAGGAAGCCTGAGGCCTGTAGGTAATTGGCGAACTTTAATAAAACTTACAAATAAATAAATATAAACAAATAAAAATAAAAACACCCCCCCAGCCATACATCTTTGAGTCTTTCCATCTCAGCTTTGGCAGTGAAAAACTTGATGTTTCCCAGGGAGAGAGTCCTGAGAGGTGAGTGAGGCGAACTTACCCTCTAGCACACCACTTTGCTTTGGCCTTAAGCTTAGAGCTGAGGGTCTTGAAGTAAGGGTATTTAGGATGTGTAAAATTCTGAAAGTAGTTATAAGCCACTTCATTCTATTGCTAACAGACATGATGTGCTATCCAAGGAGAAAACAACAGCCAGTGTAGATATGGATTAATTCGGGCTTCAGCCACCTAGCCAGGGTTCCAACACACTGGCCATGCTTAGCAAGCTGAGCATGTTGTGCAGGGAGCTCGGCATTTAGAATTCTAGCTTCTGCTCTCCCTGTAAAGGTTTGCTCAGACATTGCCTCCTATGAAAGTCCTTTCCCTAGTTTTGAGGCTGGGTTGATGAGCCTCTTCCACTCTACCCTGGGCTTTCCCATCTTAACCTTGATTGTACTGTATTGACGTCACTATTGCTGGGTTTAAATTGTGAAATCTGTGGTGGATTTGGGAAGGGGCAGTAATGGCACACCAGGTAGTTGCCGTGTTTGTGTTACCAGCCTGTCCACAGTCCTACCTGGAACGTAGATTCTGGAAGCAGACAGCATTGCTGCACATAGGCCAGGATCACTGTGGGAGTCTGAATGCCACGAGGGTTTCTAGTGGCTTTATAGTGTCTACATTTCATGCATAGTTAAGACCTGACACGAAATGTCTTTCAATTCGGATTCCTCAGTGAATTCAGATCAGTTGAACATAAATGCAGAAAGTCAGTTTCTGTCTCATATTCAAAACCTCACCATCTGGCTCTGATATTGAGAATGTTTATTTGAACCTTTAGCTCTTCAAAGCACACTTCTTCTAGCCGGTGATTATTCTGGCCTTGCTATTTGCTTGTTCCTTAGTACAAAAGTCAGCTATTGTAGTAGATCTCTGTAGCTACATTGCAAAAGGAGAGCCTTCCCCAGGGTAAGTAAAGCTAGAACGAATTGTGTACTACCTGGGGCAGTCAGTGTTCCTGTAGTAGTAAACACCAGGATGGAGTTGGGAAACTGAGGTCAACAAAACCCTATCAATCTGTGACTGGCTGGAGTCAATCCCCAGTAGTGACAGAAAACAAGACTGAAGGAACTAGCCCACAGTGGCAACAGGAAGAAATGCAAAGAGCCTTGGATGGCATTAGGAAGGTATCCTAGTTTGCTTTGGCTCTCTCTTCTGTAAAGCAGCAGTGACTGTGTGAATAGCCAGTGGAGTTATAGATGGTCGGAAGTGAGAGATGAACCAAAAGACATATGTCATCTGTTTTCCTTCTCGGGCACAGTAGGCAAGATTAGCTTGGATATTCTTGGTCTCTTTTCCAATTGCCTCAGCAATTTGGGACTCTACAAATTGAAACATCATTGCTCATTCAAGGATCTTTTCTGTATCTGTTTTGGATTAGAGTGGTCTAATCCCGTGCCTTTCCTCGGATCAGTCCCTGCTCTCTCCACTCACATATGCACAAATCCTACCCTAAATTTTCCTGTACTGGTAGCTTGGCTTTTTTGTGCTTCTTTCTATCCAAAGCCAATTAACTTTTTTTTTTTTTTTTTTTTTTT